TTCCAGGCTTCCGACGATACTGGCCATAGAGTCCAATTCGAATGCTGATTTTTCAGCTTATGACACTTTTCGCAATTGTTTGCTGTACGACAAATATCTGCATTTATCTCTGGCCACCAACACGTGAGCCTCGCCAAGGACTTCATTTTCTCAACACCTAAGTGTCCACTATGAAGATCTTCCAGGACAGCTTTACGCAACAAAGGAGGAATAACAACCCGATCATTTAAACTCAAAATACCATCAGGAGTAGTGGATTGCTAATCCCAGGTTGAAAAACAGATAGGGAATCTACGTTTCAGATTAGCATTCCAACCTTTCCGTATAGCATTAATTATACATCCAAAGTTTCTACGAGTTTCTCTAATGAGATCTGGACGTTTCACTGGTAAAGGTTGCACCAACAAACAGTCTGGAGTCTTAACAGGTTTATCTTGTAATGACTGTCGAGAAATGTAGTCAACATGTTGAATTTGCTTGGCACTCCTGTGCTGAACCGTATAGTCGTAGGCACTCAAAGCAATAATCCATCGTTGAATAATAGCAGCTAAGGCACGTGTTAAGGATTTTTCAGGATGATAAATAAGCTGGAAAGCCTCATGATCAGTAACAATAGTGAATTTCTTTCCGGATAAATATTTACGAAGTCTTTCAACAGCCCAAAACACAGATAATGCCTCTCGCTGAGTCTGTGAATAGCCTTGTTCAGTAACAGTAAGTTTGCGCGAAACACAAATAACTGGTCTATCTTCCTGTTCCAAAACTGCGCCAATACCCACAGGTGATGCATCAGTGATAAGCACAGACTGTACACTAGGGGAGTAAGTTCTAAGAACAGCATCACTTTGAAGAAACTTTAGTAGACTACGTAAGCATGACTCTTGTTCCTCACCCCATTTGAATGAATTGGATGTCAAAATATTAAATAAACAATTTGCACGGCAAGGTAAATTAGGAATAAAACGAGAATAGTATTGAAGAGCACCCACTAGTGAACGTAGTTCCGCAAGATTTTTTGGAGACGGTGCATTTGTCAGTGGAGCTAGTCGTTTCATATCTGGTCTAAAACCATTACCATCAACTAGGTATCCAAGACATTCAAAACTAGATACACAAAATGAACACTTACTTGGATTTACTGTAATATTCTTCTCAATTAAACGACGCAATAAGGCAATGAGTCTCTGGTCATGAACTACCTTATCAGAACCATGAACAATGGGATCATCTTGATAAACTTCAACACCTTCAAGATCATTAACCACCTTATTCATAACTTCCTGGAATATGGCTGGAGAACAACTTAGACCAAATGGAAGGAAATTGTATTTGTGTAGACCAAAAGGAGTAATAATTGTCGTCAAAATAGATGAGGATTGACCTAAAGGGATTTAAAGGTAAGCACCTTTTAGGTCAACTTTCGAGAACACTTTAGAACCATGAAGTCGATTTAGGATATCTTCAGCCTCTACCGTCGTGCATGTTTGCTTCAACAAACAGGAGTTCAATAGTAGTGTATAGTCACCACATATCCTAGGTGTCTTGCCATCCGATTTCAGTGGCGTAACAATAGGAGTACCCCATGCTGAAGACTGAACAGGTACAATTCTGCCTTGTGCACACAAATCATTCGAAGTCTTATACACTGCATCTCGAAGACCGTAAGGAATTATTCGTCTTTTGAGAAAGACTGGATCACCCTGTACTTGAAGTTTTATAAGCTCAATTTTCTTATCTCCACTGCACTTAGCACACGTGGCTATCAAATCTTTAAGTAAAGCATCAGAATTTTCTTTAGAAACTAGGAAAGACAACTCCACTTTAAGCCTTTTCAAATTCCTTAAACCCAGTATTGTCAGTCCTGTTTCCCTTACTAAAAATTCACAAGGTATATATGAGGAATTATCATTCTTATTGGCAATTCACAACATCCTCATATAGGCATTCTGTGTCCAGTAATCCCCAATATTGATACTTTAGTGGGTCGTACCACAACGTTCGGATCTAACGATTTCAAGTTCTTGAATGAAATAATGGACTCTATACTGCCTGTGTCCACAATAAAGTCATGAAATGAACCAAGTGATGTATATAGTCGCTTTTGAATATGAGCATTACCTTTCGAAATGGTAGACAATGATAAATGATCACTAGGATCAGCTGAATTATTGGAATGTAAATTACAAGGTTTAGTACTACTTGAGGCAAAATGAACAGTAGCTTTGCATACTGCTTGAATGTGTCCTATCTTACCAAAGTTTTTATTAAGCTGTACGCTTCTCTTCCGATGAATGTCAGGAAATGTGCCACAATTTTATCATCTTTAACATCTTTCTTGGTCATACTCCAGATTTCAAACCTTTACAAATAATCCTCAAAAGCTTCAGAATTAGAATGAATATCTAACTGTTCCACCACAAGCTCCATCGCGACGTCAATATGGTAATTAGAAGTATTTGAATTGTTGTATTAACTAATAATCCAAGAAACAACGTAAGTCGATCAAGAACTACGAGATGAGCACGAACAAATGTACTGTATTTAGAATTCGAAATCAAGCATTCTACAACAACAATAAGTCACTAGTTCATTCAAACACCACAAGGTTCTTAAGAATTTTTCTACTCTTATCTTGTCCGTGATATTCATATTTGTGAAGATAAGTGAGCAATATTCACGTGACGGCTTTACACATTTTGAGGAGTGTAAGCTTAGCCTAACTTGTTAAGAAGTTCTTATTAATAAACCCAATCATTCGCCTGGATTTGGAGATAATAGTTGAGGCATGTTCTTCGAATTTTAGGCTTCTGGAGAACGGGTATCCAGATCAGGATCTGATCTAAGTGTAACAAATCACTAATATTGATGTTACTTTTCCTTGCTGATCTCGTCTACAACTCATGTTCATAACCTTGCACTGGTTTAACGTCTTACCAAGAAATCCTATCACAAGCAGATCTGGACAATCATACTGAAAAAGAACTCACTCATGAATTATTGAGCAACAGAGTTAAAAAGAAAAAAAATAAATAAAAACCTCACAAAAGCATCAGATCACTGTGCCGTATCATTGTATTCTATAAATCATATTATTGCTAACAATTTGGTTCTTCTGAGTTTCGTCTATTATAACGATTAACTGCCCATTCGTTATCTTACTAATGAATCGACTTCATTAAGCTACATAAGCGCAGGTGTACAGTTGGTGTTCCAATTTGGAAAGTATCTGCTGAGTCATTGCTCAGCATTAAACGAGAATATTTTCCGTCCAGCTCCTCTCCCCGTTCTCTTTATTTCTCTTTTTCAGCACATTATCCCAATGATTAAATATTAATCCGGATATTTACCGAAGACTTGGTTACTCAGGAGTTAAATTATGGCTGCCAATATTGGCATCCATTTTCAACCACGTCTGATAACGTATCATACCGTGACTCCAAGTGATACACTAACCACATATTTGTTTTTTTCAACAACATCTCGAATTTCTTGTTTTAAATGTGCTCACGTAGAGACAATAAACGTCAATTTTCAGACATTCCGAAGACAGCTAGGTTCTGTAGGGGAGTGCAAAAGTCAAATTTAAAGTTGATAGAAAAATGACATCATACGAGATTAAAATGAATTCTAACAAATAGTTGTTAGCGATATAGAAAAGAATAAGGACTGAACTGAAAACTATCGTACCGCTTCACAAGTAGCGAATATTTTTAGAGATAACACAAAATGTATGTCAGCCAAATTTTTATGGTTTTATAGACAGAAATATCTAATCAGTTTTATCTCGGAGGTTGAAACATCCCAGCGAATTATTTATCAAGCGAGTTTCTGTAGTTGGATGTTTCATCTTGCTGCTTGTCATAGCTGAATAGTTGCAAAAGTTAGGTCCACAAATTCCGAAGTTGTTTAGTATTGACAGTAGTTTGTAGACAGTGTGTAATTATTGTAAAGCTATAAATTAGACAATTTAAAGCTTTCAGAATTGTAAATGGATTTTCTACTTTAACAGTTCACTCCGTCTCGAATAGGTGCAGTTTGGTACGCGACCACCCCCAGTCTAGGAACAAAAACACGATAATTCTGGGAGAAAACGGTCCTTTAATTCAATAAAATGGAAATACAGACAATTATCAAACAATATTACACCTTTTAGTTCCAATTTACCGCAGTGGGTATCCGTTTCTGGAAGAATAAGTGCTTCCAGTCCGTACTGTTGAAGTATCAAATCTAAATATGGCTGTAGCCATAATAAATATCAAATTTAAACCTATGTACAGTTCAGAAGCAAACATATAAACTTCAATATGAGTACAAGATATAGAAATAATAACAATATACAATGATTAAATCTCAAAATGGAATCAAATAAAGTACCAAAATGTCAATAGAAAGAGTCAGTCGTATCATAAGACAAATATATATACATGGAGGGATTTTCCAAAAAACAAAACATTCAAAATAGATTCTACAAGAATACCTGCTTCTTCTGATAGCACAAATGAAATAATAAGTTGCAGTTCGTAATATAAGACTTGTTTTAATCAGATATTCTGTCTAGCGCTTTGTCATAAATATGTTATGGATAGTTAGATATTTTAAAGATTTACCAGGGATCAGTTAAGTCAAAGGTATATTTGGGAGATAGTTAGTGTGTCGATAAGCATGTGATCTTAACTGCCAATCGGTTTCAAAACGATACGTAGTCTGGCGTGCCGGAGATGATGATACACCGTTGCTGATGTGAAACGCAATGCATTCAGCCAGAGGGGGCAAAGAAAAACTATTAGATTCAGCGTCAATGTCAAATAATTAAAGAATTATTTATTTTGCACACGAAACTGATAAATGAATAACCCAGTTAGGACCAAGAGGCGAGCACGATTTTATCAATTTCTGATGAGATTTCCAACATCAAGTAACAACACTCGACAGTAATTCCTAACCATATTTCAATGATCTGGTGGTAGTTTTTGCGTTATCAGTTGGTGTGGTAACACACTTTGGTTTCATCATTAGGCTAATTTAACCTTGACGGCGAATATAAAATGACTGTGGCCTTAAAGGTCATTTTCTATTATCCATCCATATTTGTTACATGTTCTTACGTTCTGTCTAACAGAACAGTTTTTTCCAGGAAGTTATGAAACTTATTCATCATCATCCATTCATGAACGATGATAAGAATGCTGGCTACCGAGGACCTGGGAGTTCACAATTATCTAAAAAGCTCATTCATGACAAGCTGGAAATACTTTCGGCCTCGCAAATTGCACCAGAATTTCATGAAGTCGGAATTTTATCAGGTTATCGCAAGCCATCAACTTCATTTACACTAAGTATCTTATCTGTTTTCCGAATGCACAATGAAACACTGAACATTTGGACTCAAATAATACCAACACTTTTCTTTGTTGTGCAGTTAGTCCTTAATTTTTTCCATGTCGGCGAGCGTTTTCTCCTCATTTATTTAGTTACGGCTGTTACGTTTCTGTCTGTAAGTTCATGCGCACACACATTTAGTTGTTTGTCACCTGGAGCTCGGCACATTTGTTTCTTTCTTGATTACATTGGGATATCATTATATTCTTGCGGCTCTGCTGTTTGTTATTATGCATTTGCTTTGCCTTTAGGTTACTTGCGACCCTCACCAGTTTTATTTTTAAATCTTAGTGATGTGTTCTTGTTTTTTTCCGTATTGTTTTGTATCTCTGGTACATATTTATCTTGTCAGACTAGATTTTGGAAGCCTTCGATTATGCGCAACATTATTAGAATGGGGGCGTTTGGAATTGTTTTATTTTATGTTGGAGCTCCGATTTTGTGGCGTTTATATACTTGCACATACATGGCAGAAGAGTATGAGACTTCCGAATGTAAATCACTTTATTATTGGAACTTGCATTTCCTGTTACTGTTCTCTGCAGGCTGTTTGTATGTTTCACACTTCCCCGAAAGAGTTTTTCCTGGAAGGTTTGATATTTTTGGTCACAGCCATCAAATATTTCACGTATGTAGTGCCTTCGGTGCTATTATGCAATATTATGCACTTAGGATTGATCTTCAGGAGCGTAATGCCAAATTAAAACTAATGTCTCATGCACCTTCAATTCCTTTCTCTTTGTTTTGCCTCAGTTTGGTTGTCTTTTGCAACTGTATTATTTTTCTAAAGTTTTGTAAACGTCTTTTTGCGATCAATGAATCTAAAAAATTCTGATTATCTCTGATTGTAAAGCTGCTTTTGGACATACTTTCTGAACTTCTTTTGAGTTTGCACTTAGATTTTTTTACTATTGCTTATGTATTTTGACCTTTAATTTATTCCTGCAAGATTGATTGTGTTTTAGCACATAAACTTTCCGTAAATCATGCTTTTTATTTTTGTTGTTTGTACTCTTATTCTTCAGATTAAAATTACTTATTTCACTAATCAAATCATGTGTACATTGCAAATGATAAATACTTATTTTCAAGTGAATTTCCTCTTCTCACTAATATTTAGTTGAACTTGAGATATTGTTTTAATGCGTGGATCTTGGGGTGTTAGTTCTTGATGAAATAACAATTATTACAGTTTCTCTTAGCATAATTTGAATGAGCTAGTCCCACCAAACCATGTTAGAAATTATTCTATCATTGTTTAGCTAAATTTGTGATTAAATTCTAACGACTTACTTCTGTCTAAAGTTTTTCCTGATGATGTCTAGAAAGACAATGGTAGCTTTGTGATCAAACTACACAGCTTAGAAAACTTAACTGTATCAAATTCTCGGGCAAATTCACATAGTTTTATTATAGTAATTTAGCAAAACATCCCTGACATTTTACAACTGAATTATTTTAAACTCAAGTTGTTGGTGTATTTTTGGACAAATAAATCAATAACCTCATCCCAACATTTCCTTAATCAAATAAAAGCATTTGGTCAGCATTTACATTGCATGTAGCACAGTTTGGACTATTGCGCATAGTCTTTGTAATGTATATCTCCATTTTACTCTGATGACCAAACACCCTCGTTTCATACTTCTTAGGTGTCTAAGCTAAAAGTAAGGGATCCTGAAGTCGAGCACGTAGTATATACATTTGTCGAACAGAATATGTTCAAGTCTACTGGCATGTGAAATTTATACCTATTTTCGACGAATTGTATAGCTATAACTCAGTCTTATTTATCTAAAGTCGCCTGTTTATATCTGTTTTATGCTACGTCGGTGGTCTGAATTAATTCAGAGAATTAAATTTCATTTTATTTAATTGTAAAATGGATTTTTGTGTCTATATACTCTTACTTTAGTTGAAATATCTATTATCCCATTTTTAGCCTGATATACATCAAGTTAGTTCTGTAACGGTTTTCGGTTTTCAAGATTTAAATGTTTAGAAACTATAGCTCTCAGCTTGATTAGAAATTCGTGTCAGTTTTGCATACAGATTGTGTTTCATGACCTCAATCAGAATAGATTTAGCAGATCGAGATTAGGCACCTTATTTTTTTAGTAAATGTTCAGTTCTTTTATTACTTGTAAGGGTGAATCGACTGAAATTGAAATTGCCGTACAAATTACAAACCAGCTGATGTCAGTCAGTCAGTCAGTCAGATGTAACGTAGAACTTCGTGCGTAAGTACATCAGCTCATGTTGCCATACCACATCAGCACACAGATGTAATTGTCAATTCAGTTCCAATAGTAGTAGAGGTAGTAAAAGTTATTAGAAGTAATCGGAGAGGTTAGGATTAGAAGATCTTATTCAAGAAGTATGATTCCGTGAGAAAAGTTTCGAAAGACAAAACTAGAGGTGTTGAAGAATCCAGAAGATTAGGATACCAGCTCATGTAGTATCAATTCGTACATCACTCTTCTAAAGCGTAACATTACTTACTTACTTACTTACTTACGCCTGTTACCCCCAATGGAGCATAGGCCGCTCACCAGTTTTCTCCAACCAACTCTGTCCTGGGCTTCCCTCTCCAGTTCTGTCCAATGTTTGTTCATTCCTCTCATATCTTTCTCTGTTTCTCGGCGTAGTGTGTTCCTTGGCCTTCCTCTTTTCCTTTTGCCTTTAGGGTTCCATGTGAGGGCTTGTCTCGTGACGCAGTTAGGTGCTTTTCTTAGTGTGTGTCCTATCCACTTCCACCGCTTCTTCCTGATTTCCTCTTCAACTAGAATCTGACTTGTTCTCTCCCACAGTTCGTTGGTGCTGATGGTGTCTGGCCAACGAATACGAAGTATTTTGCGTAGACAGCTGTTAATAAACACTTTTATCTTCTGGATGATGGCTTTGGTAGTTCTCCATGTTTCCGCTCCATACAGTAGCACTGTCTTGACATTTGTATTGAAAATCCTGATTTTGGTTTTGTTTGAAAGTTGTTTGGAGTTCCAGATATTTTTCAACTGTAGAAATGCAGCCCTCGCTTTGCCAATCCGCGCCCTCACATCTGCATCGGATCCACCTTTCAAAGCGTAACATGTTGGTTGTTAAAACGCTTATTCACTTAAGACTAAGCTACCTATCTTCAGTTTTAAAACTATTTATTGGTCAATCAAATACCAATAACTGTTAGTGTCCAGTAATTTGATCATCGTTAAGTATTGACAGTTTTGTGTATCATGATTAACAGTTCTCTTAGTTGCTTTATCTTTCTGAAGTTGGTTGTACACTTCAATTAAAATTGTTAGAATTGTTAGCGTGTCCCAACGTAATCGGTTGCAATGATATCATTGAATTCGTGTTTAACATTACTTCCAATCGGGATTACTTTATTCCACACTTTTCTGATTGGTTTACAATTATTTATGTAACATTTCGGTTGTTATACTTTTCATACAATATTCTCTTCTGATGATTGACTTGTTGTGTCTCTGCAAAGTTGCGAAAACGAATTAAAAACCATTTGTACCAGATTTTGCATTACTTTTTTTAAAGGATGTCAAGCATCTTGAATTTTGTGTTTATATACAGTAAAAATTAACTGATACACTACATTAATAATAAGCAAGATATCATCGTAAATGTAAAATATGAGCTGTTAATTCCAAACTAATCAAGGAAATTTTGCCATTTCCAACCTCTTGCTGATCTATCTATACATATCATGTGAAAAACGTAGTTTTCTTAAACGAAAACAGGAAACAAACGACGTCTTCCGATCACCTTCAGTGATATCTGACATAGTTTGAAGTACGCGTGTCGTACGCATAAAATAGATAGGCGTCCCAAAATTGATATACTGTGAAAATTAGTTCAAAAGCCTAAGTTTTCTGAGTGTTTCTTTTTATTTGTTATACAATTGTCTACTGTTTACTACTTCGAATGGTTCGGTAAAAAGATTTGGTTGATCAAGAGTTCGGTATCTTGAAAACTCAGTACGAGACAACTGTGTGATAAACTTTTATTTCCCACCGGTGATATTGTTTTGCACGAAAAAATGCCTTATTTCATTCCTTTATACCAAAACTCAGTTAGTCAGTCAGTTACAACGTAGAACTTGGTAAGTACGTACATTAGTTCAGGTTGCCATACTGCATTAGTCTAGAGACGCAACTGTCAGTTCAAATCCCATAGTGGTAGAGATGGTAGAAGTATTAGCAGTAATGGAGAAGATTAGGGTTCGAAGATATTATACAAGAAGTATATTTCAGTGAGATAAATTTTGAAACAGAAAGATAGAGGTCATGAGGAACTCAGAAGGTTAGAATTTGGGAGTGAATTCACCTGTGCCATTGCGAACTATTTTGAGCCATCTCTTTCAAGGTTTCTAACCATCGGTTACTATCGTCTCGCAGACCCCAACTAGGTAGCCAACGTTTAACCAACATGACTCAATCCAGTTGTCAGTGACTTCATGGATTTGTGCTATATTTTGGCTTGGCCACCCCTAGCTTTCTTCCAATCTACTCCTACATCGCAAAACCACGCTCGTTGAGGCAGCCGGTGGTTAAGCATACGTCCTAACCACTTCAATTGATTAAGTTTCAATGCTTTATCAATCGATTCGCTATCCCTACCTAGCACCTGTTTCCTAACAACAGCATTACTTACTCGATTGTCCCAGGATATACGAGCAATGCTTTGAAGACATCGATAATCGAATACTGGTAACCTACTTAACTCTTATCGGCCATGTTTCGTATCCATATAGTAGGACGGAGTGAACTGTTGTGCAGTAGACTCGTCCTTTGATTGTTAGCCGGATATCTCTTATACCAAAAGTAATCATTTCTGAAGCGTTATCTTTTCTACATCTCAGGAATCATGCTTCTTTGAGTTATTTTCATCAGTCTATTTTCCCTGAAGATTGTATTACTCACTTTCACTTAGTTTATTTTAGTGATTGTTGCATAAATCTCATCTCATTGAATTACATCATATCCCATTAAAACAGAATATGTATGGTATTTTATTGTTTTCTGAGTGAAAATTTTTATTAAATTTACAAGTATTTATTTACTCAGCTTATTTCTGATTATTACTTTTGAAAAAAAAAAAAAATCAATACATTCTGGTTTTAATTAAATATTAGTAATAAAAAAAACGATTCATCTATATATGTACTAAATAAATATTGACAGATATTAGATTTTGTCTTGATTTTAAATTGTTTCATTACTGCTATATATATTTATTTGATACCTAGACTAGGTGGTTTTAAAGAATATGCGGGTATGATTGTTATACTCATCATTCTAAGCATCATATTAATAGGAATAATGAATGATAATCCTAGATTGGTGAACTAGTGATAGAGAGTGAAGCACCTATGTTGGGAGTCTGATTCGTGTTGATGGCCGGGGGTGTGACGAAATCTCGGCATGGATACAGAAGGCTGGATTGACTTTAGACGTAGGCGTAGGCGACATATCCATCTGCTAATTAAAGGATAAGTCTATTATGTGACAGTTCTCTCCATCCTACTATAAGGCTGTGAAATATGGCCAGTAGGAGTAGAGGATATTTGTGGGTTACTAGTACTCGATTATCGGTGTTGTTAGGAAAAGGGTACTAAGTAAAGAAGTCAGATCAGCTGATGAAGTAGTGAGACTTAACCAGTTGAAGTGGTTGGAACATGTGCTACGTATGCCCAACCGCCGACTGCCTTGACGAGAGATATTTTATGGTGTAGAAGAAGGTTAAAGAAAGGGGCGGCCAAACCAAAACATGACACAAATCTATGAAGTCACTGGTAAGTGGACTGAGTCGTGTTAGTGGGTGTGGACTGCCTGTTTGGGGTCCGCATTATCTCATAGTTCACTTATGATCTTTGTTAGTAATCTCGAAATTTAAAATATTTTTTTCCATGATAAAAGTATCAGTGATTTTGAATATACAATTCAATTAATAGAATATATATTCGTGGCTACTTTTCAAAGTACTTCCACTCTCTTTACAATCATGACTTGAAAATAAAATAATTTAAAATGAAGCGTAACATCTTTTGACTAAGATACTACAACAGTGAATTGTCTTTTGATGGACTTTCATTCTCTAAGCTGGATGCATTTTGGTTTTAGAGCTTAGCTCTATTGAAGTGAATATGGCTGTTACGTCGAAGGGTATCAATCAGTTTGTCGTTGTTGTTATATATCTCGCTGAGTTTATCCAAGATCTGCATGGGAGTGATTAGGGTGGAATCCACTAAATGTATCAATATCCTTGAAATTTCTCTTGATGAGTTGTATGTTGCAAAGGGTTTTTTCTTGAGAAACTTGAAAAAGAAATTAGATTAGTGTTTGTCTTAGCTAGCTGAGAGCTTGATTGCAGAGCCCAGAGAACAACTGATTGAAGCCGAACACATACGGCCTTTTCATGGGAAGTTTGTAAAGTGTCAGCTCCGCTCTTATTACAAGAGATGGGAATGTATGGGGTAAGGTTGAGTGTGGCATTTATAGAGTCGACCTGTTCTAACCCCTCCGTTTCGTTATGAGAAGGCAGTATCACTGCAGATGCCGGTTGTCCGAGTGTAACACATTACTTCTGTCACGCCCCTCTACAATAAACAGTACGACTTCACCTTCAGAACTTAAGTAGTTATTTTTAGTCTCACCGTTCTCCAATCCACCTGCTTGGAATAGTAGAATCTAAACGAACATATTTTCAGTCAGTCAGATGCAACGTAGAACTTCGTACGTAAGTACATCAGTTCATGTTGCCATACCACATCAGCACAGAGATATAATTGTCAATTCAAATCCAATAGTAGAAGAGGTAGTAAAGGTATTAGAAGTAATCGGAGAGGTTAGGATTAGAAGATATTATTCAAAAACTATGATTCAGTGGGATAAGTTTAGGAAGTCAAAACGAGAGGTGTTGAAGAATCCATAAGATTAGGATTTGAGAGAACACAAAGAATAAATGCACCGGCGACATTGCGAACGGTTTTGAGCCATGTCATTCAGGTGTCTAACCATCGATTATTATCATCTCGCGGACCCCAACCAGGTAGTCGACAATTACCGACATGTCTAAGTCCAATCGTCAATGACTTCATGGATTTCTGCCATGTTTTGGTGTGGCCAACCCTAGATTTCTTCCAACCTATTCCTACACTACAAAACAAAGCTCGTCGAGGCAGTTGGTGGTTAGGCATTCGCAGCACATGTCCCAACCGCCTCAACTGATGAAGTTTCATTACTTCATCTATTGATCTGCCGTTCTTACCTAGTACCCGATTCCTAATAACAGCGTTGCTCACTCGGTTGTCCCACGGTATACGAGCAATGCTTCGAAGACACCTATGATCGAAAACCAGTAACCTACGAATATCTTCTACTCTCACTGGCCATGTTTCACAGCAATAAAGTAAGACGGAGCGAACTACTGCGCAGTACACTCGTCCTTTAGTCAGCAAACGGGTATGTTCGAGCCAATATAGCTCGGTTGGGTCATTACGATAGGCAAACCCAACCACCACATCAAGTTAGCAGCAACGGTCGAGTATATATCTATATAATTTTAGGAAATTTATATGTTTATGATAAATTAATCATTATTATGAATACAATAATTTCGTTTAGTTTATTTCCATTTTGCTTTACAATAGGATTCCAATTCTTCCATTGTTCACCAATGTTAATTTATCTTAATTCTAATTTACCACTATCAATGTACAGAAATTATCGATTTTATTACAAATGCATCATTTCAAATGTGTACAAACAAGCTTTTCGGCCTGTTCCATATCGATCTAGTCATTCAATGCGAGAAAAAGTCGCTCAGCCAACCATTCTATCATTGAATACAGTGAAATATGCTGAAAATGAAGCAATTTGTAAAAATGTTCAATTAATTGGTTGGGTCCAGTCGATTAGAAAGCATAAATCTCGTGTATTTTTTAATATCTCCGATGGTTCTTCCCCATATGATTTACAAGTAAGGTATTCAATGAGTTTATCGTTAATTAATTTTTTTTTAATGGAAGTTTTCTTGTCTCATATCGTTACCTACTTGCGCTTGTTACCCCTAATGGAGCATAAACCGCCTACCGGTATTCTCTAAACCTACTCTGTTGTGGGCCACCCTTTCCAGTTCTGTCCAAATTTTGGTTCATTATTCTCATATCTGTCTATCAAACATTTCATGTGCTCAAAAAGAATGGTTGATTTAGTTTCCTCTTGACTGACTTCCGAAGGAACTCGGCTGTCATCATGAGACGTCATAACTCTTCTGAATGAAGACCTTCTATAACTTCCAGGGTAGAGGTTAAATGGTTTGAATTGATTTTTCTGGTTAGCGTTTATTTTTCGCGAGTTAGTTTTCTTCGGGATGAGGTCGTCAACTCCATGCCCGGCCCTCCTCATTTTACCTGGTTCGGGACCGGCAGTAGCCCCAGAGGGGATACAGGCGGAGTTGTTTCATATCATTTTGTTAGTTGCTTGTTGAATCTGTTTGTCTAATTGGTATGCATTAAAAGTTGTGAAGACTGATAACATAAAACTAGGCTTTAGATACTTGACTTATATCAATTTGATTTTCAACTGTGATAAAAGTCATTTGTTCAAACTCTATCTAACATAGAGAGGTTTAAATACTCATATATCTAGTATGTGTTCTTCAACTAGAGGTTATAGAGATTAGTGTTTTTACACATTGAAATCATCAGCCGATTCTTGTTAGACCACCATTAGAAGCCTTGAAGCACTGAAAGACGGCCGTTTCGTCCTGATATGAAACTCATCAGTCGTAGTGCGCATCCAAGACTCCTGCTACTACTCACAAAATTCGAACCCAGGACCTTTGGTTTTGCGCGCGGACTGGTGTTAATGTCTAGAGATTTTGCGCAGCCTCACCTATTTGTCTTCGATAGTTACTGCCTACACCGGATAGGGTCGAACTTCATTGGTCACATCTTCTCACTAGAACTGCGAGAATTTCCTCATGGAGCTTGTCACTAGTGAACATATTGTACGATTTTGTCTTCAATTATAGTTATAGAGATCAGTGTTTTAACACAATCAAATCATCAATCAATCATTGTTAGACAGCATCATTCGAAAACCTGGAACCACTGAAGGACGGCTGTTTCGCCGTGGTATGGAACTCATCAGTGGCAGTGCGCATCCACGATTCTTGCTGCTAGTCGCAAAATTCGTACCCAAAACCTTTGGTCCTGTGCGCGAACGCCTAACCGCTGGATCATCTAATTTTGTAGATACTTCCCCTTTCTTCGCATTGATTAGCTATCTATCCTTTTACTGGGTCTGGGACTGGCAATAACCCCAGAGGGGCTACAGGCGGGGCTGTTTCATATCGTTTTGTTAGTTGCTTGTTGAATTTGTTTGTTTAATTGGTATGCATTAAAATTTTTGTAGAATGATAACATAAAACTAGGCTTTAGATACTTGACTTATATGAGTTTGATTTTCAACTGTGATAAAAGTCATTTGTTCAAACTCTATCTAATATAAAAAGGTTTAAATACTCATATATCTAGTATGTGTTCTTCAACAAGAGGTTATAGAGATTATTATTTTTACACATAGACCAACATTAGAAGCCTCAAAGCACTGAAAGACGGCCGTTTCGTCCTGATATGGAACTCATCAGTGGCAGTGCTCATCCACAACTCCTGCTAGTACTTGCAAAATTCGAACCCAGGACCTTTGGTTTTGCGCGCGGACTGGTGTTAATGTCTAACTCCGATCAATCTAGGGATTTTGCGCAGCCTCACCCATTTGTCTTCGATAGTTACTGCCTACACCGGATAGGGTCGAACTTCATTGGTCACATCTTCTCACTAGAACTACGAGAAGTTCCTCACGGAGCTTGTCACTAGTGAACACATTGTACGATCATTGTTTTTACACATTGAACTCATCAATCAATCATTGTTAAACAGCACCAATAGAAAAGCTGGAACCACTGAAGGACGGCCGTTTCGTCCTGATATATAGAACTCATCAGTGGCAGTGCGCATCCACGACTCTTGCTACTGCTTGCAATATTCGTATCCAGGACCTTTGGTCTTGCGCGCGAACGCCTAAACCTCTGGATCACTTAATTTTTTATTGTACATACATGCACTTTCTTTGTAGTGATTATCTATCTATCTATCTATCTATCTATAGAATATTTCAATTTCAGGTTATCACTCCGCCTAATGAAATAACTGATAAGATAAAAGTTGGTTCTGCTTTATCAGTTGAAGGGGATATTTATCCTATGCCAAATATTCAACATACATCTTCATTATCAATTGACAAACCTATGATTCAATGTTATGGAGAATTACATGCTAAAATTGTTCATATTTTAGACAATGACAATTCACTCCACGACCAATCCACTAACACTATTTCGCTTCCTTTCCAACAAAATACTTCTACAAATAATCAATTGATAAGTTCCATTGGCCGACATAGTCCACGACCGGATTTAGGAATTTTACAATCATCTGAAGCATTATCTATGCGTCATAGATTACCGGAATTCGGTGCAATGCTTAGAATACGTGCTTATATTAAACAAATCATTCGACAAGTAATGAGTTCATGTGATTATTTAGAGGTATGTTTTCTGATGAATTAATAATAATACTAAATATTTCATTATTTACTTACTTACTTACTTACATCTGTTACTGTCAATGGAGCATAGACTGCCGACTAGTATTCTCCAATCTACTATGTCCCCTGGGCTTCCCTTCCTAGTTCTTTCCAGTTTTTGTTCATTCTTCTCATATCTTTCTCTATTTCTCGGCGTAATATGTTCCTTGGCCTTCCTCTTTTCCTTTGACCTTGAGAGTTCCAAGTAAGGGCTTGTATTAAAATGCAGACGGGTGCTTTCCTCAATGATTGTCCTATCCACTTTGAGCGAATCATCCTCCCATAGTAGGTTGTTGTTGATGGTGTATGGCTAACGGATCCTCAGTATCGTGTATTGACAACTGTTTTAATAAATACTTGTATTTTCCGGATAATAGCTCTCATGGCTCTCACAGTTTCCTCTGCATACAATAGAACTGTATTGAAAATCCCGACGTTGATGTTGGTTGATAGGTGTTCTTGGAGTTCGTGGAGTTCTTCCGTTGTCGAATAGCTTCCCTTGCTTTGCCTATCCACACCTTCACATCTGAATCACATACACCTCGTTAAAATTTAACCTGGATATCATTTTGATCCTGTAAAAATAAAAATCACTTTGACTATGTTTCATGATAAACGATTAGATTTATTTAAAATTTTTATATTTTTTTGAGTGACTGAGCTTTACAAACATACAATACTTTCGAAGTATAAAACGTTTTATAGTTGTTACTCAATTCGTTAAATACAATTTCAAAGTTTTATTGTTAGAATTCGACCAACTAACATCAACAAAACCACACAAGAACGATTGTTTTCCTTAGGGTGTATAATATTCAATAATAGTTTAAAATTAACCGGTGATTATCGCCAAATTGCTCCTGACTATTAGTTCGTTGGTTCGAATGAAAGCATCATCAGGATGCTACTTTACCATTTAGAGGTGAAAAAAATGGTCTAATCTTAAGACAGCGATTAAAAGCAGCCACTGAGAAAACATACAACACTGCTAAACTGACTATCATTGAAAAGACTAAGCCTATGATTTCATATAGACCTAAACGTTGCTCGAATGATTACATGACATCCGATTGCATTTATCAATTTACATATTTGTGTGGACACACATACATCAGGAGGAGTAATCGGACTTTGCAATCAAGGGTTATGGAACATGTACCTAAGTGACTTCAAAATCAGTGAACGTCAGATGAGCCGATTAGCGTGGGAAACAGGAAATCTTGTTCATCGATTGCAAAACACATAATTGAGACAGGGCATAAGATTGACATCAATGCAGTCTTCAAAAGATGGCATAGTAATGTTGAAGTACGAATTTTGAGGTTTTTGGAGGCCTTGGCTATTCGTTAATTAAACCCCCCTCCCTTTATGTGTACAAAAACAATTTATTATAACCTTGAATTTACCCTGGTAATCGTTAATTATCATACCCTTTCTTATTCTTTCCATATTACGTTAATTTTCTCTCTCCTTTATTTACCTTATGTCTATTTGAACTTTTATTTAATTGACCTTTTATTCATCTTCATATAAAATACCTTGACAAGTATGCATGTGTGTGACCAGATTGTTCGAAATGTGTACAACGTAAATATATCACATTTTTCAGATCAGTTACGTCTTCTCACTGAAATCATGAATCAATCATTGTTAGACATCACAATCAAAAACTTGGCAGCACTGAAAGACGGTTGTTTCATCCTGATACACAGGACTCATCAGCGGCAATGTGCGCCCACGATTCCTGCTAATACTGGCAGGATTCGAAGCTAGGATCTTCGGTCTTGCGCGCCAACACCTAACCTTTGAATACTAGTTGGGTTTGATTGATGCAATCTTATGAAAAATAGGCATTAGATTTTGAAAGAACACTTGTTTACTGAGTTGAATTTTCACTGAAAATCACAAATTTTACACTTTTTTTAGTATTTATTACAAAGTTTCATGTTTCAATTAGCGGTTTGTTTTTGTTGTTGTTATTGCTTTGTTTCATTTTTTGTGATTTTGAAACAAGCAAAACTGTGGTATGATTATGAGTGACTGCGTGTGTGTGTGTGCATTTACATGTTATTGATCTCTTTGATTGATTGCATTCTAGTTGAAGTTGTGAGTAGATTATCTGTCAATAAACCGACCTGATTAATTATTTTTTCAAGTTGCAAATATGAGAGATTCAAATTCTATTATATTCATTCACATTATGACATACTGATACATGAGAAAAAAAAAGGCAGAGTATCACCAACCATAAGCCAAACTTTTTTTTCTAAGTGTTAGGCGGCGCACAAGACCGATTAGTTCGAATCCTGTCAGTTACTGGAGTCGTGGGTGCGCACTGCCACTGATGAGTCTCTTTTCCATCCAGAACGAAACGGTAGTTTAGTGCTTTCCAGTTTTCTAATTGGTCAAATCATAATTTCAATAGAGTAACTCAACAATCGCCACAACCCCATAACGCATAATAATATGATTGTTAGAGCATCATTTTTAGTAATCAGTCAGTCAGTCAGTCAGATGCAACGTAGAACTTTGTACATAAGTACATCAGTTCATGTTGCCATACCACATCAGCACAGAGAAGTAATCGTCAATTCAAATCCAATAGTAGAAGAGGTAGTAAGGGAATTAGAAATAATCGGAGAGGTTAGGATTAGAAGATACTATTCAAGAAGTATGATTCAGTGAGATAAGTTTAGAGAGTCGAAACTAGAGGTGTTGAAGAATCCAAAAAGATTAGCATTTGAGAGAACACAGAGAATAAATGCACCGGCGCCATTGCGAACGATTTTGAGCCATGTCATTCAAGGTCTCTAACCATCGATTATTATCATCTCGCGGACCCCAACCAGGTAGTCGACAATTACCAACATGGCTCAGTCCACTAGTCAATGACTTCATGGATTTCTGCCATGTTTTGGTTTGGCCGCCTCTAACTTTCTTCCAACCTATTCCTACACTACAAAACAAGGCTCGACGAGGCAGCCGGTGGTTGGGCATACGCAACACATGTCCCAACCACCTCAACTGGTGAAGTTTCATTACTTCATCAATCGATCTGCCATTCTTACCTAGCACCCGATTCCTAATAACAGCGTTGCTCACTCGGGTGTCCCACGATATACGAGCAATGCTTCGAAGACACCTATGATCGAAAACCAGTAACCTACGAATATCTTCTACTCTCACTGGCCATGTTTCACAGCCATAAAGTAAGACGGAGCGAACCACTGCACAGTACACTCGTCCTTTAGTCAGCAAACGGATATCTCGTCTACGCCATAAGTGACGCAGGTTGGCGAAAGCCAATCGAGCCTTCTGTATCCGTGCCGAGATTTCGTCAGTCACCAGGCCATCGGCACTGATGAGACTCCCAAGATAAGTGAAGCGGTCTACACGTTCGACTACTTCACTCCCTATCACTAGTTCAGGTGCCGATGCAACCCAGTCTTGAAGCAACATTTTGCATTTCGAGGGGGAAAATCGCAACCCGAACATGTTTGCATTGTTGCTTAGGGTAGTCAGAAGACTCTGCATTTTGTCAGCGTCTTCACCAAGTAGGACAATGTCATCGGCATATTCTAAGTCAATCAGCGAGCCACCTGGTAGAAGTTCTACTCCTGAAAATTCAGACGAGGATAATGTTATGTCTAGGAGCATGTCTATGATAAAATTAAACAAGAATGGAGAAAGTGGACATCCCTGACGGACACCACTTGATGTAGAGAATTCCGGTGACAGTTCGCCATAAGCCCTCACTCGACCAGTGGTGTTCGAGTAAAGAGCTTGTATAAGGTTAATGTACTTCTTTGGTACACCTTTCAATGACAGACACTGCCACAGAACCTTACGATCCACTGAGTCAAATGCCGCCTTAAGGTCTAGGAAAACAACTATTGTAGGACGCCTAAATGTGTGTCTATGTTCCAGGACCTGTCTGAGTGTGAAGACGTGGTCTATACAACCACGTCCAGGTCGAAAACCAGACTGGTTTTCTCTAGTCTGCTCTTCACGAGCTCTAGTTAAGCGTCGAAGTATTATTGAGGCCAGTATTTTAGATACTATATTAGTTAGACTTATTCCCCTGTGATTGTCACAAGAAGACTTTTGTCCTTTCTTATAGATTGGGACAATCAAGGATTGAGACCAGTCGGATGGGATTACGTCCAGTTCCCAGATTCTACCTAAGATCTCAGTCAACCTAGCTGCTAAAACTGGACCACCATCCTTAAATATCTCGGGGGTCAGTCTATCAGGACCTGCAGCTCGTCCTCGTTTCAGATTTCCTAACGCTTTCTCAACGTCATCAAGACTAGGGGGACTTAGGTCGATTTGCCATTCAGGATGACTGGAGATCGTGGGTAACCGAAGAGTGGCTCGTGGCCAGTTGAACTGATCCCTAAAGTGTTCTGCCCATCGATCCAGTCTCCTGGATTGGGAATGGATAATAAGACCATCCTTTTCCGAGATAGTCTCACTCACATTCGGGTTCTTAATACCAGTTTCTTTAATAAGGCGGAAAAGTTGTCTACTGTTGCCGATCGCCGCTGCCTTTTCCATCGCTTTTGCTTTCGCCACCCACCACTGTTCGCGGTCGTTACGCAGACTTTTTATAAGTCTACGCCTAAGCTGACTACGCTCTTCATCATGCTCAGAGTCAGGTGGGATGCGTTTTCGAGCATCCATCAGTTCAGTGGATGCGACTGATATCCACGGCTTCATCCTAACCTTATGGTTTACCTTACTAGCAGATATCACTGCTGTTTCCACAGCCTTTTTGATATCATACCAACCTGCTTCTGGATGGGAATCACTTACATCGTTGCTTAACTCTCTTTCTAGTTCCTCCTGAAATATTTTCTTGGTTTGATTATCATTAAGTAAAACCCTGAGAGGCTTTCTTACGGTGTCTTTCCTACGCCCAGTAAGCCTTAAACAGATACGAGCTCGCACTAGAGCATGATC